CCAGGTTAAACATGAGAAAGCCACAGGGGGAGGGCCTGCAGCCTGGCTGGCATGACATCGAAGAGCAGGGACAGAGCAAGGGAGCACCAACGAAATTCTCAGCAGCCTCACCAGGATTCTTCTGGAAGGAAGAGCCATCAAACTGACATAGAACCAGGGGTCATTTCATAGAAAAAGAGGTGCAGGAGCTCATTAGCATAACTCATTAGCATAACCTATTTGCATATGCCACACCCCCTGACATCACCGGAAGTGTGTCAGAAGGCAACACCCACCGCTCAAGCTCCACTGGACTGTTTTAGATTGCTAGCTATTGGGGGGGGTGGCGTGAATGTGCAGATCTGTCCTGGCAGAGGAGGGAGAGCTTGTACCTGAATAAAACTTGGTCTTAAAGGTGCCACTGGACTCTTTTGGACCGGGGGGCTGGGGGGGAGCTCTGCAACTTACCTGGCTGCTTCTTGCTCTGGCTGAGGGCTGCTGGGAGCAGGGGGTGGGGCTTGTTGCATGTGTCCGCCCCCTGGGCTCTTTACTGCCGGAGCTCCGCTCCTGTGCGCTCCCGCAGGAAATGACCCCTGCATAGAACCCATGAAGTTCCCAGAGCACTTAGACCCTAAATCAGGGCTCCCAAATATGGTGCCTGTATTTCCTTTGGTGCTCACTAATAGGGTTGCCAGCTCTGGGTTGGGAAATAACTGGAGAATTTGGGGATAGCGCCTGGGAAGGACAGGGTTTGGGGAGGGGAGGGACCTTAGCAGGGTGCAGTGCCACAGAGTCCACACTCCACAGCAGCCCTTTTCTCCAGGGGAGCTGATCCTGGGTCGTCCAGACATCAGCTGTAATAGCTGGGGATTTCCAGGTGGCACCAGAAGGTTGGCAACCCTAGCTGCTGAGCTTTCCCAAAAGTAGGCAGGGCATCATCCTGCAGGGCACATTGCAGGGGGACACTCTAGCATTTGAGGGAAAACTCTATGGTAGCCACACACACACACACACACACACACACAACAGGGCCTGCACAATGACGTCACCTCTGGGTAATGTCACTGTACTGGGCATGTTGGTGTGGATGGGGCTTTTGGGGGGGGGGTTCCCCCACCGGCCAGCTCCGTGGCAGGAGATCGGGGCTCCTGAAAGTGGGTAAACCCCCGCCAAGTCAGGGGAATTGGCAACCCTATTCAGACTCTATGACATAACATCCCTGCTAAGCTCCCCTCCCTCCCCAAACTCCACCCTCCCCGGGCTCCACCCCAAAAACCTCCAGAAATTTCCCAGCTCAGAGTTGGCAGCCCTAACCCAGAGTCATATAAATATTAAGACAGCCACCTGGCTGGCGGCAGTCACATTTAGAATTGTTCATGACAACGATGTGATTTTTAAGGAGCGCCGTGTCGCACCCTTTAAGAAAGAGGTGACAAAACTGAGACCAATTTCCCACAAGCAGCTGCTACTCCCTCACTCTTCCCTTTCCCCCCAATTTTAAGCATCAATTTCCCACTACTTGTTGCGTAGCTGCATTTTGACCCACAGCTTCGCCCAATCTCTCCCGCGTCTTCTCGATCTGTTTTTTGAGTATCGAAAAGACGCAGGGGAAATCGGGTGAAGCTGTGGGTCAAAATGCAACCACGTAGCAAGTAGTGGAAAATTGACTAATACAATCGGGGGAAGGGAAGAGCAAGGGTGACAATAGCTGCTTGTGGGAAATCAGTCTGAGCTTTGTAGAAGACGTGGTCATGTTGGTAATGCTGCTGTGACTTTCCATATGCCTTAAAGTTCCATTATACGTGCACACCTCTTCACACGCTGGAGGCAGTTCTTGAAGACTGAGAAAAGTTTGAAAATGTCCTTCATCTCTTCGCTGTGTGCAAGAGGAACAACAACACACACTGATCTTTTTAGAGCCAGACACAGATAAATATTAGATGTGTAAACTACAACCTGGACTGAAAGGCAACACTGTTAAGGACACAGAGCTTGGCTTAAAAAAACCCCAAGAGGTTGCCAGCATGAAGCAATCTTCCCATTCAGGCATCACACTTCATGATGGAACTTGAAAACAAAAGGGCAATTGCAACTCTGCGGTTTGTGAATCAGGATTATAGCGACCACAAAAGCGAAGGGCAAACATCTTACGAGCTATTTTTAGGGCGGAACTGCATGTCACAACTTGGGAGCGGGTGCCCAAAACAGGCAGCCGTGTATTCGCTTCCCTTCTGAAATGGCTGGTTCACTTCATCCCATTTCTTGAAATCATGCCTTTGTTCCTCACATTTATATTACAACATTTCCTTCAAGGAGTTCAAGGGTGACGGATGTGGATGAGGCGATCCTTTTCCCAGCCCCGGAAACTATTCTGTGGTTAGGTGGAAGGAGAATGAACTGTCCAGAATGCTAGTTGTGATCTGCTTTCCAATCCCGTTCTCTGTGACCCTACCTGCAGAGGTGAGGCAGGTGGCGAGTACTAGAGACTTGGCACTTCAACGGTGACACCCTGCCTGTGGAATGGCATTCCCCTTGAGACTTACCTAGCCTTTACCATACTGTCTTTCAGGTATCAGACCAAAACATTTTTTTTTAACTTACAGTCTTAACTAAGGGCTTTTGTATTTTTAGCTCCTTTATGGCCTACCTCTAGCTTAAGATCTGTTTTATGGATATATTTTTTTAGGATGTTCAGTGCTTATTTCCTGCTGGTTTTAATGGCTTGTTTCTAACATTGATAACCTATCTTGTTGTTTTTCAGTTACACCCACTTTTCTCTTCAATGGGGAACGAAGCCCCATACATCATTTTCCTCTCAAAACAACGCTGTGGAGTATATTAGAAGAAGAGATTGGATTTATACCCTGCCCTTCACTCAGAGTCTCAGAGCAGTTTACAATCTCCTTTCCCTTTCCCTTCCCCTCCCCACAACAGACACCCTGTGAGCAGTGTTCCCTCTAAGCTGAGTTAGTGTGAGCTAGCTCACAGTTTTTTGGCCTCTGGCTCACACATTTTTGTCTCAGCTCAGGAAGGACAGCTCCAGAGCCAACTCATTTATGCAGCAGCCAAATCGCTTGCTCACAACTTTAATGTCGGCAGCTCATGAAGTAGAATTTTTGCTCACAAGGCTCCACGGCTTAGAGGGAACATTGCCTGTGAGGTAGGTGGGGCTGAGAGAGCTCTTTCGACTGCTCCTGAGAGAACAGGACTTGTAACTGACCCAAAGTCACACCAGCAGCTGCATGAGGAAGAGTGGGGAATCAAACTCGGTTCTCCCAGATTAGAGTCTGCACTCCTAACTACTACACCAAACTGGTTGCGTGTATGCGACTGGCCCAGTGAGCTTCCATGGCAAAGTAGAGATTGCATTCTTTTTACCATAAGCTGCTTTAAGCAGGTCTCTGGACAGGCGACATAAACAGGTCCTGAATAAGTAGTCTGTCACCCAGGGGAATTCATGCCCAAGTGGAGACTTGAAGCCAAATCTTCCAAGTCAAACTCTAGCCACTGCACTGGACTGCCTCTCCAATCGTTACAATATACATTTCACCACTCCATAACGCTGGCTGCCACTGGAAATACGAGAAACTACACATCACAATGGCATCGGGACATGGCTAAGTTGAATGGAAAGGTAGGGGGGAAGCTCAACGGAAGTCTTGTTTTCAACAGCAACCCCCATTACCGTGTTTCTTGTAACAGGTAACTCTACCCTTAAAACATATTAGTTGTTTCATGTACCTCAAGAAAGTAGAGACCCCTGCCTCGATTGTGGTTAGCCTGACATTACTGCTTTCAAAAGGAGCATCGGGGCCAGCCACTTTCCTATTAGATCTAGTTACAGGCTTGGGGAACCCACAGAAGAATCACCAGTGGGTGGAAATCATTCATACATTTGATCCCATTCCTCAACTTTTCCCCATCCAGGTTTCTCTAAGCTCTCGAGGGCTTCAGTGGGCTCACTTCTCTCCCCACCCACCACCACCCTTTCCCCCTTCTCCTCAGCCGTTCTCAGCACTTCATCCTTTCTGGAGCATTTTAGTTTCTCACCTGGCTGTGGGTAGAGGGGTGTTCTACTTTCTTTTGGGTACCTTATAATGCAATGTTTTTTATATGTCTTGGCAGTTCCCCAAGTAGATGGGATTCCTCACCTCCAAAAAGCATCTACATCAGCTCTCTGTCTGCTTGTTTCGTCGATAGTGTGTGTGTGTGTGTGCCTGGAAGTCATTGTGACTTCTAGCAACCCCTAGTGGGGTTGGATGTTCCAGAGAGATTACTTGATTTCCTGCCTCTGCGTCCTGAGCCCTAGTATGCCTTGGAGGTCTCCCGTCCAAATACTTGACAGGCTCGCCCCTGCTGAACTCCCAAGATCTGACGAGATGGGGCTTGCCTGGGCTATCCGGGTCAGGGCGCTTCTGCATCAGCTCTTGATGGCTTCACCCCCAAATCTTTAATCCTATCCCCCTTAGAGATGTGAAGGCCCGGAAAAACCCCGGAAAAATTCGGGAAAAACCCCGTTTTTATATTACCATAGAGTTTTGGGGCAAAATGCTAGTGTTAATGCATCAACATATCCGGAGCAATGACATCACTTCCAGGTGATGTCATCACAGTACGTGTGCAAGAAGACTCCACGACAGACCCGAGATCCCCCCCCACCGCTAAAAATCAGGTAAGACCTGGCAACCCTACGAGGGTCCTTGGCTGTATTGTATGCAATTTTTTTTTATCTAAAGTCAGGAATCCGGTTTAAAATCAGACATCTAAATGACATTGCCTAAATGACAAAGCTGCAAACCAAAAAGTGCCCAGTTCAAATCTGAACCCCCGTCCCATCACCAGGAAGGCAAAGCCTCTATCACAGCTCCAGTCCCCACTTCCACCCTGTCCTTATCTGCAAAATGAATCTCACACACACTACTGCAGCTATGGCCATAGTTAATGAGAACATACACCGGAAGGCCTTTGAACACCCAAAAGTACTAACAAACATAATGCTTAGGAGCAAAAACTAAGTTTACCTTGGTGAAGCAGCAGCTTTGGAAGAGCCTGGTATTTCTGGAACAGGCCGATGTCTGAGTATGAAAGATCGCGTTATTCTAGGAGCCGCTGTCAGAAGACTTTGCGCACAAGGGCCATACAGATCATTCTCCACCATTTCGCCTTTAAACTCAGTGAACGGTGAGTCCGGCGGATCACGTGGCAAGCTCCCCAGTCCGGAACAGAGCAGGTGCTCCTCCTCGCCAGACTTCATTTCAGAGGAACAGAAAGCATCTGAAGTGGAATCGTCGTTGGCAGCATCTTCTACTTGGCTGGATTGTCCTTTTTCTAGAGAATCATCTATATAAGACACCGTTTCAGGCGTCACTTGTTCCAATGTATTTTCCGCAGCAGCAGAAACATCTGTTGAGCAGTGTGAGTTCGGACAGGACGAATAGAAAGAGTCCAGATCTGAAGATGTGCTGCCTGTGAGTTCCTGTGACTCATTGTCTGGAAGCTCCTGATTTTCTTCACAGGCGCAACTATTGCCACAGACTGTGTCTGTCTGTTCACTAGATATCGTGCCCTTTATTCCACTCTCGTTCAGATTTAGAACAGGGGGGTCAGAACTGTGACTTTCGATATCTGCAGACTTGCCTTGCCTCTTGGAAAACAGGACTTCCAGATGTTTGAGGATTCTTCTGCGGTGCCCAGTAGGACATATGCCCATCTGCTGCAGCATTGCGTTGTTTACCCACATGCAGTCTTGCAAACTATTATAACCAAACGCTTGAAAGTTAGAAAAGTACTGCCCCAAGTTGATACCATCTAAGAATTCATTTAGATCGGCGCTGGTGTCTCTGAATGACATCCTGGCAACTTCATTCCTAACCTTTTGGTTCAGAGACGTAATACTTGGCACACATGCCCAGAATCATGACAAAAGTTCTTCTTTAAGACCCCGAGTAGAAAAAAACACTTTCCGCAAGTAGGAACAGCATATATAAAATCAACACCTTCAGCTCCTACAATGCAGAACAAGGAAAGAAAGAACCGGTGTTAGAGATGGTATTTTAAGCGCCAACATTTTTGTTCACATTGGTATATAACAGTCTCTTGAAACTCTTCATGCTTTTAACTGCCAAGAACTATACAATGAAAATGAACACAGGATCTCTCATCCCAGACAGAAAGCGTTCAAAAATGGAATCTGTTTGCTCTCCCTCCATAACCACTTAGCTCCCGCCATTACCTGTAATGTTAATCGAGACAATGGGTTGGATCCAACCAGCTTTTCTACTCATGAAAAAGGGAGGAGGGGGGACCCTATTGACCACCAAAATGCTCTGCTCAGAATCATGGGACCTGCAGGTACAAAATCCATGAGGGATACGATCTGTATTAAAGAGGGAAATTGGCAAACAGTGCACAAAAAAAGAAGAGAAGAGAAGAGATTGGATTGGATTGGATTTATACCCCGCTCTTCACTACCCAAAGGTGTCTCAGAGCGGCTTACAAACTCCTTTCCCTTCCCTTCCCCACAACAGACACCCTGTGAGGTAGGTGGGGCTGAGAGAGCTTTGACAGAAACTGCTCTTTTTTCAAGAACAGCTCTTAACAGAACTACAGCTTGCCCAAGGTCATCCAGCCAGGTGCAAGTGGAGGAGTGGGGAATCAAACCCAGTTCTCCCAGATAAGAATCCATGCACTTAACCACTACACCAGACTGGCTGGACACAATCCAATAAAAGAAGAGAAGAAGAAGAAGAAGAGACTGGATTTATACTCCGCCCTTCACTAGCCGAAGGAGTCTCAGAGCGGCTTACAATCCCTTTCCCTTCCCCTCCCCACAACAGATATGCTGTGAGGTAGGTGGGGCTGAGAGAGCTCTTTCGAGACCTGCTTGTGAGAGAACAGCTCTCAGAGAACTTGTGACTAACCCAAGGTCACACCAGCAGCAGCATGTGGAGGAGTGGGGAATCAGAGCCAGTTCTCCAAAATCAGAGTCCACGATCCTAAAAACTACACCAAAACAAGAGAGAACATTCATACAAGTTCACCAATAAATTAAACAGCTAGATTCAAGTCTAGGAGGCCAACGGGATTTTGAGGGTACGGGCTTTAGAAAGTCAATGCTCCCTTGGTCAGATTTAACCCCTTACCCAGATATAATGGTTGCAGAATATAATCCTCAGGCTGCTAGACATAAAAACTTTTGTGAATTGGGAAACGGGGGGGGGGGGGGAATCAAGGTTGAAACAGACAAGAGATGCTGGGAGATTTCACTATCAGTTTCCCCCCAGTGACTTAAGAACAGCAACTGCAGCTACAGGAGATTTTGGCTCAGACTGGGACCACAGTAGAGAGGAAGGAGCCCTTTGACCCTCTCGCCTACATGTGGTTTCTTTAGGTAAGGCTCACAGCCACTTGACCAAGACTACCGTACCATCATTCTTCCTTCAAAGGACTAATAAAGATAAGGAATCCATTTCAACTGGTGAAAAACCGTGCAAAAGAGGAGGGGTTCGCCCCATTTTCTTCCTGCACTGTGACCTGTGTGCCGTAATGTCTAAGAGCAGTGGACTCTGGTCTGGAGAACTGGGTTTGATTCCCCACTCCTCCACAGGAATCCTGCAGGGTGACCTTGGGCCAGTCACAGTTCTGTCCAAACTCCCTCAGCCCCACCTACCTCACAAGCAATGTTCCCTCTAAGCTCCACAGTGTTGTGAGCAAAAATTCTACCTTGTGAGCAAAAAAGGCTACTAGCATTAAAGTTGTGAGAGAGTCTTAGAAGACTATTTCCATAACCTTGTAAAAAATCTCAGAATTAATTCTTTTAAACTATATTTTAACAATAATTTAAACATTATAAGAGAGAACAGAATCAAGTCAAACTTCATTACAGAAAATATTGTCCTCTATGGGGGTAGACCAGGCCTCCAGAGAACAGGTCTACCATCCCTTTACCACTATATTGGTAGACCTGGACTCCGGAGAAAAGGACTACCTGCCCTTTTCCACTATATTGGTAGACCTGGCCTCCAGAGAACAGGTCCACCCACTCCTTTCCACTATATTGCTAGATCTGGTCTCCAGAGAACAGGTTTACCCACCCCTTTCCAGAGATCAGGTCTACCCTCCCCTTTCCACTACATTGGAAGACCTGGCCTCTGGAGAACAGGTCTACCCACCCCAGTCCACTATATTGCTAGACCTGGCCTCCAGAGAACAGGTCTACCCGCCCCTGTCCACTATATTGGATGACCTGGCCTCTGGAGAACAGGTCTACCCACCCCAGTCCACTATATTGCTAGACCTGGCCTCCAGAGAACAGGTCTACCCGCCCCTGTCTACTATATTGCTAGACCTGGTCTCGGACTGTTGCCCTGCACTGAGCCTTAGAAAACATACCAGCACTTGGGGGGGAAACCTCTTGCAGTCTACCTTGGGTTTTGTTTTTTGTTTTTTTGTGAAATATGAGAGATTTACAGGTCATGTATAACAGAGGTGGAACAATCACTGTCCGAAGCCTGCCTAACCTAACAAACATGAAGTTGCTTGAACATTATCAACCTGCCGAAACTATTTATTTATTCATATATTTACATCCCACTTTTACTGTGACTCGAGGCATCTTTCAAATCATACTGAAAAGCATAATAGGGGCGTGCAAAAAAAAAAGATTTTTACTGTTTCATTATAGCCTACTAGCCTGATACCCATGCTTCGCTACGGTATTTAAGTTCCGTAAATCCAGTTTCAATACTGATGATGTGAAATTTGAAATGTGACATTTGTTGTAGGGATTCTAACAGAGACGATTGTATGTAAGAAATGAAGTGAGACATACATACTTTTCCCCCCCTCTACTGAAGGACCTTAGACCACATTGGTGGTTCTGCCCTCAGGTGCTAGGATCACCAGGCTGCTTGATGAGCTCACACTGGAGCAGGCCACATAGAACTGTCCCACTACCTTCCACGAAAGTGATGGCCTCTCTACTTGTCTCCCTGCATTGTTTTCCTCATATGGAAACTGTGTTGTTCTGAGCACCTCAGGGTGATCTTGCTGGTACATGGCCTGTGCAGCTCAGTGCACTGCAGGAGTACTATGTGCAAATGTCTTTGCTGCATTCCTAAGTTGCCTCCTCCTTGTAGCGTTGGTGTATCTGGCTCGACATTTGCCAGGAGCTTTCTTGGGGGCAGTAAGAGGTGAGAGGACTGAGGGGGAGTTGGTGTGAGGGAGTGGTGATATGGTGGACATTTCTTCAGGTTCATGAGGGAGGCACACATCGAAATGGCTCCTAGAAATGGCTCCGATTATCTTCCCATAAACATTCATACCCTGGCCCTGCTCCTACACCTGACAGTCACCGGCCTGTCTGGTGTTTGGGGGGATTGTATTTAAAGGCATCAGGGAGGCTGGGCCAGCAGCAGTGCTAAGGGAATCCTGCTGAGCAAACCTCCCTGGCGGCTGTAAGCATCCCACTTCTTCTCCTACACCTGACAGGCATCTGCCTGTCAGTGCAGGACAGGGATGGGGGAGGAGTATTAGAAGCCACTGTGGAGGTGGGGCTGCACCTGACAGACAACCGCCTGTTAGGGGTAGGAGGTGGGGGGAGTGTGTTGGAAGCCATCCCACCTCCTCTCCTACACCTGACAGGGAGGGGGAGGGGGAGTATTAGAAGTCACTGTGGAGGTGGGGCTGCACCTGACAGACAACCGCCTGCTATGTGTAGGAGGTGGGGGGAGTGTGTTGGAAGCCATCCCACCTCCTCTTCTACACCTGACAGGCAGCTGCCAGTTCTGTGCGGGAGGGGGGAGGAGTATTAGAAGCCACTGTGGAGGTGGGGCTGCACCTGACAGACAACCGCCTGTTAGGTGTAGGACGTGGGGGAAGTGTGTTGGAAGCCATCCCACCTCGTCTCCTACACCTGACAGGCAGCTGTCCAGTGTAGGAGGGGGAAGGGAGGAGTATTAGAAGTCACTGTGGAGGTGGGGCTGCACCTGACAGAAAACCGCCTGTTAGGTGTAGGAGATGGGGAGAGTGTGTTGGAAGCCGCTGGGCCAGCAGCTTTGCTTCACCTCACAGGTGGTTCTTGGCCACTCCTGATTTCCTCAACTGTCATTAGCTCTCTGTAGTCCCCTGTAACTGTTGGGTTGTTTTTTTTTACCTCAGAACACTGAGCTCTGCAGCTGACCAATCAGACAGTGGGAGGTGCAGAGAGGCAGCTGCCTGGCAGCTGCATAGGAATCAATGGGGGGAGCACATTTCCCCCCTTTTGACCCACTTAGGGGTATTTCTAAAAAGTCCCTTGTTAGCGAGCACCTATGCCACGGCAGGAGCACTCTTCCCAAATCTGGTGTCTCTAGGTCCAATGGTTTGGCCTGGGCGTTGATTTTACGGTGAGGGGACTTACTTTTATATATATAAGATGGAGACCATTATAGTCAATGGGTTCCATAGGCTATAATGGAGAATTGATCTGAGGGTATCTGGGGCTTGGGGGGGGGGCTGTTTTTTGAGTTAGATGCACCAAATCTGCAGCATAGCTGCTGGCGCCTCTCCTTTAAAAAAACACCCAAGTTTCAAAACGATTGGAACAGGTGTCCAATTCTATGGGCCCCAGAAGGAGGTGTCCCCATCCTCCATTGTTTCCTATGGAAGCGTGGTTGTGTGCAGAGCAGAAATCCTCTGAGGCAGCCTCTGCTATGTTGCACGCCAGTGCCCCCTAGTGCAGCCTAGAGGGAACTGTGCTCACAAGGTGTCTGTTGTGGGGGAAACAAAGTTTGAGTCCAGTGACACCTTTAAGACCAACAAAGTTTTAGTCAAGGTGTCAGCTTTCGTGTGCAAGCACATTTCTTCAGATAC